CTGTTGCCCGTTCAAAACCGTGTCGGTAAATTTTTCCTTTTAAAAAGCTCCAAAAGAAAAAATCATTCGGCGATAAGCATGGTGATCTCGGAGGCCACTTGATTGTACCATTTGTTGCTATTAAGCGATCAGGGAACATTTTGCGCAGAAATTCGATAACTGCCCGACAATTATGACTTGGACAGCCATCCTGTTGAAACCAAATATCTCCCAAATTAACAGGGAGTTGCTGAAGTGCAGGAATAATTTGGGTCCGTAATAGATGCAGATATTTGGTGCCGTTTAGGTTACCCTCAATAAAAAAAGGTCCTATAACATGGTCACCTAATATCCCCGACCAAACATTAAGTTTTTGCGGATATTGTGTCCGAACAGGAATAGACAGGTGTTTATTTTCCCGAGACCAATATCGAACTACAGATGAATTGTGCTTGTTATGAAGGGAAAACGTTGACGTTGAAAATTTGGATTTTGATTTTGTTTTTCCATCATTTCTTCACAAAACTCCATTCGTTTAATACTGTCCTCGGGAAAAATCTCTTGAGTCGTTTGGACTTTATAGCACCGGTAACTATTCCTTTTCAAAAATTTTCTTACAGTATTTGGGTGCATGTCAGCTTCTTCAGCAATTTCCCTGCTAGAACATGGTTGACTGGCTTCAACAATGACACACACATTTATTTCTTTACTTAGCCTTTGTTCACTAATCTGTCGAATACGTGGTTCATCGACATTATTACATTTGTGACAATTTTGCAAAAATCCACATTTCCGAAATTTTTAATTATTCTTTCAACTGTGGAATGTGACGGAGCTGGCCTATTCTCAAACGCAACAATAAATAAATTCACTATTTCTCTAGTCGAGTGACCTCCAAAATACCAACTTATAATTTGAATTTTTTCATGCACTGTGTACATTTTATTTTAATTACAACAGTTGCGGACTTAAAAACCTACGTAGTTTGCTGTGTAGGCCAACGTGTGAGTTTGAAGTATGAACGCGCGTTTTGTGATCCGAGTTGCTGAGCGAACATCCCACCAATTTAGGTGGGGCAATACTTTAATGGTAGGATAGCGGTACTGATGCGGTCCAATTTACTCTCAGCTTCATCGGTTGAAATTTGTACTGGTCGACTCGCTAACAGAAAATTGCTATGCTCCGAATTATTTAGAGTTTATCTGTATACAATCTAATCCATATTTTAACATTATTTCTGCCTGTGCATCAGTCATAATTATTAACACAGTGTTTAGATAGCATTATGTGTTTCTTGAGGTTTATAAAACAATACACTATTGTCACGTTAAGTGGTTTGTTAGGCAAACCAATTAATCAATCGTGGGGTACGCCACTGCGTATTTCGGATCGCCCAAACGATCTTCCAGTCGAGGAAGATCTTTGCGCCACCCGAAAATACTCACTGGAGAACCTTTCTTGTGATTTACTGTTTGGCTTGGCTTTACGATACTGGGGAAGGAATAAAAGTCACAGCATAAAAAACTACAAATCTTTAATGAATACAAACTAAAATCCGCTAAACTACCCAGAAATCCTCAATGTTATAATACACCCCAAATATACAATATATATACACTACAAAGACTTTAAAGAACCAACTGGTTACTTTTCTCAGAAATACCTTTTTTATTTTATTTTATTTTAGATTTATAAGATAACCTTACCACATATTTTAACAGCAAGCTGGAATGTCACGACTTTATTTTTTATTTTTATTACTGTAATACAGCAGAGTATTACCTACTGCCGATTTATGTCACAGCCGAAGAACTTATAGCCTCGGTTGTGCCAAAAATGTTGTTATTTTTTGTTTTGTCAATTTGGCTAGCTGACCCCAACATTGTTTTGAAATTGTAGAATCAGCATAACTGAATTGAGTGCTTTGTTTACTTTCAACATAAAGTAAAGTTTTTAATTACTAGACGAAAAGATTGTTATTGTTTTAAATAACTTTAAATGTAATATTAAACACAAATTGGAATTGAATCGAAATTAAAAAGATTGAAATAAAATTATATTTTTAAAAATGGCTTTAATAAAATTTGAGTTGAAATATATTTTTGGAAAGTACTTTATTTTATCTTTAGTACAAATCTAATTATTTTTAAATGCAATTCGTGACACTATCAGTATCCCTTACCCATATCTCAACATCATTTTTATGCCGAACTGACATTGCATTTAAATTATCTGCATTGTATACAGGGTTGGGCATAATTGGCGGAACACCCGATTTGTGGCTCAATTATGGATTGTATTGAAAATTAATCCAAATAAAGTTTTTTGTATATTTTATGTACTATTTAATGACGCTTGGGGATTTTCATTATCTGTCATATTTATCAAGATATGACGTCATCGGATGAAATTTTAAATGAATCGCCCTATATTTATATTTTTTTTCAGATAGATTTTTTCTTTCTGAATCCATTAATGTAAGGTTTGAGGGTCTCCGAGTTCATAACAAAATAGAAAGTAAACATTTATTTCATAAAAAATAATTATTATCAATCGAAGTATTACAAATCTCTCAAAGTAAGTGTTCGAAGTGAAAGCCTCCAACTGCCTGACAATATCCTAGTCTATCAACAAATGATCTTAAGGCATTTTGATAAACTTCAGGTGTTATTTCTTGAACAGCAATTCTTATTTTGTATTCCAATTCTTCCAGCGAATGTGGCAGGTCCTTATAAACTACTGATTTCAAATGGCCCCAAAGAAAAAAATCCAGTGGGGTTAAATCCGGTGACCGTGCCGGCCACTCAATATGTCCTCTTCGACCCACCCATCTCTGTGGAAATATTGTGTTCAGGTACTGCCTCACTCTAGCATCGAAATGAGGTGGAGCACCATCTTGCTGGAACCAAATTTCATCAGAAAGTTGTAAGTGATTTCTGTGATTTGGATATAAACGAACTAACTCTGGAACTATCTGCTCTTGAAGTAGTTGCAAATAACGATCACCGTTCAGAGTTCCTCTCATGAAGAATGGTCCAATAATTCTTCCTCTAACTATACCAGCCCAAACATTTAACTTTTGTGGATATTGGGTGTGACCTTCTTCCATCCAGTGAGGATTATGATCAGACCAATACCGGCAATTATGTTTATTTACAAATCCATTGAGACAAAATGTTGATTCGTCGGAAAAAACAATGCTGTTCATCAACATATTATTTCCATTAATGGCATCCATCATTACCTGGCAGAATTGCATTCGCCTATCTGGGTCATCTTCATTCAATTCCTGGTCTAATTGCACTTTATAGGGATGAAATTTATTGACTTTCAGAATCCTCCTTACAGATCTCTCGCTCATATTATTGTCTAACGCAAGCTTTGGAACTGAAGTTTTTGGTTCTTCCTGTACACTTAGAACCACATTAAGTGCATTTTCTTCATCAGTGGCTGTCTTCTTCCGTCCAGATCTGGGATTATTTTTCACACTTCCTGTTTCATTAAACTTGCTCAAATTTCTGGATACCATGGTTTAAATTAATAAAAATTCTCAATAGTATCAAATGCTAAGAGTTATTTATTTTCGCGTATTGGGCTAGTTTGGGTGAAATGAATTGACTTGCAATTAAACTCAACTTGTTTGATTGTCTCCATAAACCAGAATGAATTAAAATCTACAGATTAATAAAAGGTGACAATAGTTTTTATAATATTATAAAAACCAAGTAAACAGTAACACAAAAACATTGGTAGGTATTTCTGTCAGAGATGTACAATAATCGTATTAATAAAACTCAGTGATTAATATCGAGATGTCAATATTACATTTTAATGTCAAAAAGTGAAACCATGGCAAAACAATTGATATTGGTACATTATGATGGCACAGACAACTTTGTGAATAGTTATTCATTAATTATTTAAAAGAACGTTTACCATTTTGTTTTATTATTTTCTGATGATAAGGAAAATCAGAGACCACCCGAACCCCATATTGATGGATTCAGAAAGAAAAGATCTATCTGAAAAAAAATATAAATATAGGGTGATTCATTTAAAATTTCATCCGATGACGTCATATCTTGATAAATATGACAGATAATGAAAATCCCCAAGCGTCATTAAATAGTACATAAAATATACAAAAAACTTTATTTGGGTTAATTTTCAATACAATCCATAATTGAGCCACAAATCGGGTGTTCCGCCAATTATGCCCAACCCTGTATATTATATTATTTTTAGTAACAAGGTGTACTCTTTCTAATTTTTCATTCTGTATAGAATCACTTACTTCATCTAAGATTTCAGAAAACGGAATCGTTGCAATTCATTCTTCAATAAGGCGCATTTACATGGTTCACTTTGGATGATCACTTTGGATGAATCATCCAGAGTGAATTTGACCATTTTAAAAAAAGAGGTTTACATTGATCAACAAAATTGAATTATTCAGTTCATTCCAAAATGGCACCGAATAATCTAATTGTACGTGTAGGAATTGCGGTAATTAGTGAATACCTTTCGAGCAAACTGGAAAAAATAAAACGTAGAAGAAATAGGCGTTGGTGGATCAGGCCGTGGGTAAATCGACGAAATATAATGGGGGCATCAACTTGTTTGTTGGAAGAATGGATTGCAGAAGATCAAGCAATGTTCAAAAACCATTTAAGAATGTCTACAGTGCAATTTGAACAACTCCTTGAGAAAGTGACGCCACTAATTAGGAAGCAAAACACAAATATGAGAGAAAGTCTTCCTCCCAGGCTAAAACTGCAAATCGTACTGAGATATGTTGCATCAGGAGATTGCTTTGCAACACTAGAAGCATTATACCGTATACCAAAATGTTCTATTTCTCGGTTTTTACCAGAAGTATTGGCTGCCATTTACAAGGTTCTTGAAGAATATATAAAAGTAAGTATAGTTACCTATATACATTAAAATAACAAGGTACATCATCATTGTTATAACACACATTTATTTTATTGAAAAAATTATAATGAAACAATACATTTTATTTACCGATAACCAATAGTAGACAAGGCTTGGGATATTATATCCCCGGCTGGCTGTTCTGCATATGTTTCTTCTTGAGTGGCATTTGGTACAGAATTCGACAGGTCAGTAGTATGTGTCAAGTGAGTAAATGGTGAAGCCGTGGGAGTGGAAGTCTCAGAATAGAAATTTATTTCATAGGATGTTATCGAGTTTGACATGCCATCATCCGGCGAGGGGGAGTAGGTCCACTGTGGCGTAGATTGAGAAACATTCTGCCTAGATTTTTCCAATCTGAATAAATACATTCGCTCTTCAGTCATTACTTTTAGCAGTTTTTCCTGACAAAGTAAAGCGCGATCCAAAGGCATTCGGTTAAGTTGAGCTGCCAGACTTTTGCAAAAGTGATCAAATTCATTGTCACTCTCTGTGGCTGAATTATTTGCAGAAATTGAAGATAATTTATCAATTGCCCTTTCTACATCCGAAATCTCAGAAAAGCGGCTCTTTTTTGAACGTGTAGTTTTCCAGTCTCCCTGTGCGCTGACTCTTTTACATACATTCTCATTTGCAGATGCTTGACGCACATTCTCCTTTGCAGATACTTCACGTACATTCTCATTTACAGATACTTCACGTATATTTTCATTTACAGATTCGACCGCAGATGTGGTATCCTCAACTTCTATTATACATTCCTCTGAATTAGTATCATCAACGCCTTGCGTATGCAGAGTTGGCGTTTTTTTACGTTTTGGGATCTAAAAAAGATAGATATTCCTCTTTGTATTAAAAATAATAGGGTTAAGCATTGTAATAAAAATAATGAAAGTTGTATTATGAACCTAATTTTGTTAAAATGCTATTAAAAGAAAAATGACGTGTATATTTCAGTGGATGCAATTATATGTTTTGTTGTTTCAGGTTCCCAGCATAACTGCGGAGTGGGAAACGGTAATGAAGGATTACTACACGTTCTGGAATTTTCCTAACTGCTGCGGAGCTATGGATGGCAAACATGTTGTGATTAGATGTCCTAAGAAAACCGGTTCCTATTTTTATAATTATAAAAAAACCTTTAGCACCATTCTTTTTGCAATTGTGGATGCTAACTACAACTTTATATATATTGATGTCGGTACAAATGGCAGAGCAAATGATGCATTAGTATTTTCCAAATGCACATTCAATGAGGCTTTGGAGAATAATTGGCTAAATATACCTGATCATGGTGTCTTTGTGGGGGATGACGCTTTCCCGCTTAGAACCTCTCTCTTAAAACCTTACAGCAAAAACACGTTATCTGATCAAGAAAAGATATTTAATTACCGGCTATCAAGAGCGCGTCGCGTGGCAGAAAATGCGTTTGGAATACTTGTATCGCGTTTTCGAATATTTGAAAAGCCCATCCCACTTAAAGTAGAAACAACTGAGCTATTAGTGAAAACAACATGTGATCTTCATAACTGGCTCAGAAAAACTTCTACCCGCAATAACCCATACGTTAGTGAAGGATTGGTTGATACAGAATTATGGGAGCAAGGCAAAATTTTACCTGGAGCTTGGCGGCACGTCACACATCAAGGTCTTGGAGATATTAAACTTGTGTCAAGTAACAACTACAAGAAAACGGCTGCAAGCTTGCGGGATGATTACGCAAAACGGTTTTATTTCACAGACATTGTCCCATGGCAATGGAAAATGATTTAAATATTTTTTTATGATTGTACAACTTGCTAAATAAAAACGAATTCAATAAAAATATTTTTACATGACTTATATGCATTTTGATATTGGATAATGTAAAAATTTGTAAAACTGTCTCGCCAGCCAGCGCACGGTATAATACGTTATTAGTATAGTTGTGGGTACGCTGAACAAAATTGATTTAAAATAAAAAACATATTAAGCAAAAATTAAGTACACAAAATGTCATACTTACTGTAGTTGCTGTGCTACTCCTTGGTACACATACTGCATTTAGAAAGGAATCTGCTAGTTTATACCAAAAAAGTTTTGGGACATAAAGATCATCTGGCCCTGCTCCACTCTTTGTTGACTGATTCACTTTAGCCAGCTCGGATGAGTATCTTGTACGGATTGTTTTTATCTTTAATTTTACATCTTCAACTGTTACCTCCTCAATATTTAGCTCTGCTACGATTTCCTTTAAAGCTTTGTCTCGGCAAGTTTTGTTTTTATACTCTTCTGCTTTCGTATTCCATAAACACTGTCGCTCTTTCATTAAATTCAAAATTAACGGAGTATGATCATCTTTCCACTTGATAACCATTTTTAAAAAATAGAAATAAAACACCGTGAACCTCTATCCGTAAACAACGACGAACACGTGCTTGTTTATCAGTTCTTCACTACGCACTGCAAGTGAAGTGGATGTTTACACGGTTCACTTTTAATGATTCATCCGCGGTGAATCACCGAAAGTGAACGAAAGTAGAACCCCATTCAACTTCAATCAATGTTCACTCTGGATGATCACTTTCGATGAATACTAGTTTACACGATTCATTTCTATTTCACTTTGGATGATTCATCCAAAGTGATCATCCAAAGTGAACCATGTAAATGCGCCTATAGATTCGCGTTCGGTTGAGGACAAATATAAATGCCTAACAAGTTAAATTAAAAGTTACCTTGTGTTTTAGGGTGTCTCATTCCCTGGCTTCGTGAACTATAATATCCTGATCTATTACAAAAATATTTTATGACATTATAAGATTTGGCGCTAAAATGTTTTCTTCTTGAATATCTTTTATTTGCATCTCTTTCAATAATTCCATATTTCAAATGATTCTTGATCAGAAAATGTATGTCTTTAATTCAAGCTGTATGTTGTGTTCTTGTTTAAAATATCTTTTAAAATCTCAATTAAGCTTTGCCTGGAATGTGTAGCGGGCAAGTTCTTATCTTTATGCTCTGGATTAAATTATTTACTTGACTGGTTGGGCGCCATTCTGTGATATGATCTTATTATTTTATCTATTTTTATAGTGTTTTATGCTCTATGATTTTGGGGAGTGGGTCAGGTTATTAAACAACTCGTATTACTTTGAAAAAGAATGTTGGACGCCACTATATTTAAACTTTCTAAACTTGACAAGCGATTAGTGATGAAAATATAGAAAATCACTAATCATAATGATATTATAATTAAATAAGGTAGCGACAAATTCTAATTCACAGAGACTTAATTATTCAAATTTAAATGATTTATTAAAACTTATCTGTTGAATCAGAGGTAACATTTAAGGAGTGACTGTAGAGGTCTTCTTGGTAAATTTTCATAGGTAAAGTTAAATCTCGTTAACTTCTTTCGGTGGTTGAACTAAGCTTCTTGATATATTCTAAACAAGCAGCTTGTACGTTCTTCCAAATTTCTAAACATGCAGCTTGTACGTTCTTCCAAATTTCTAAACATGCAGCTGCAGCTGGAACGTTCTTGCAAACAATCTTTTTCGATAAACTTCTATAGAACTTCTACTGAAACCACCTATTTACAACTTCTATTGAACCATCTATATACAGCAAGGCTACAAGGAAAAAGGTAAAAATATAAAGAAAGGAACCAGGGAGTTTATATAGGAAACAGATAAGATGCTTTTTACTATCAAATGTACAAATTAAACTATTATTTGAATAGATTCACAGAGACTAAAATTAATATGAAAAGGAAAAATCTTATTTAACAGATTTAATTATAGTAAAGCATATCATCCCTTTCAAACAAAATAATACATAAAATTATATAAAACATGTGATTTCTTGTGTGATTCAATGTGTTGAGGTTATGTTTCAAATTTGACATTTAAGTAAAGAATTTCTTGTACTAAATATATATTTTCAACAAAATATCGGTAGGAAACTTACCTTTTTAAAATCAGACGGTCATTAAAAATATTAAAGATAATTAGTACATCGGATGTCCAAGATAAAAGATAATTAAAATTCAATAATCAACTTGCTTGTCGACAGAGACAAAATGAAATGACAATCCAAGTTTTGACACAAGGCATAAACGACAAATGACATTTGTGTAGATGTTGGTTTCAAAATAACGAAAACGGTTCCGACCGTTATAATATCTGGGTCAAATAATGAAAACAGTTCCATCCGTTACATACTATTGTTTTCTATTATGAAACCGTAAACGTCTTTCTTGATAAAAAATTTTGCACTTACTCACTTGAACTTTTTTGTCCCCGTATTTAATTTTCTATGGTAAATTTGAACTGAACACTCCTTATATTCAAAATTCATAGTGATTTCTGTCACTGCAATCAGTGAATCACTATACTTTTAATACTTCTATATTTAATTTATATAAAAAAATGAATTTAAAATTCACAATTAGGCAATCCAACGACCTGTCAAATAAATTCAATATGGCGCTTGGTTGGCATACAAACTGAACGTCAGTATTATTTACTTATGTAAATCGAATATTTTGGAAGCTTTTTTGAAGTGTTTTAAGTATAATTTCGATTAGTTTTTATAATAAATAGGGTAAATTAAGTTTAATTTTGAAAGTGAAATGCCTGTAATCTGCCTCGTGGTCGATTGTGTTTAGTTATTTTCGCGTCCCTACGTTACTCTGTACATTACCCACATATTAATACTTTATCAAGAAGAAGAATGGACATGTGGATAGCAGCTATAAAGAAGGACGATCTAACTGAATCGATTATAAAAAATCAGAGGATATGTAGTAGACATTTTATTACAGTTAAAGACAAGTTTATAATATGTATCTTTAATATTTGAAACATTTATACATTATAGTGTAAAACTGTTGTATGTTATGGGAATAAAGTATCATATGTAGGTAGTATATTAGTTTAGTTCAGGAAGGGTTTAGTTATCAAAAGGCTTGGTTCTGTATAGTTTAAAAAACATCATACATACTTAATACAAACATTTTTTTTTATAATTTACTTGTAGGAAAATTTTGTGCCTTGAGTGATGGGACGAAAATCAAATGTCCAGATAATTATGTGGTTTAGCATAGTAATACAAAATTGATACTATTTACGAAAGTCACAAATCCATTCGGCATCTGGCATATTTGAAAGGCCTACACATTTAAAATGGAACCATTTAATTTGGCACTTGTTATTATCGCAGCAAATCATAGGCATTCCATCATATACACTCTTACATTTGCACCAAAAAATCAATTTTGTAGATCCTTCACTTCTTGTGAAATATCTACCCCAAAAGTTCTGGCATTATAATTTCCGTATGAAATTTTAAAGCAATTTTTGAATTTGTATCCCAAAAATGTAAGTCTGGAAATATTTTTTTAGTAAGAAAATTGACTGGAGACCAAATTACAAAATCGCAATATGTCAAATTGCACACATTACCATCTTTTAGAATTAGGCAAGAATCTTTAAAACTACAATATTCCCTAATATCTTTGGTGCCATTTTTATATAAAAGATAATGACATTTTACTTTCAACACTCCTCCTAAACAACACTCACAATACACTATTCTATCTGGAGATGCTCCCAATTGTGGCCACCTGGAACTTACAACGAGGCCCACATCATTGATCATTAAATTTTCATGTTGTTCCTCCATTACTTTTTGGTATTCTCCAACAGCAACAGATTCATGCTATAATCCCCATTCTTTTGCTTTTGTGTGGAATGCAGAGTTTACTGGATAGCGTATGCTTTTAATAAGCGACAGAGAAAGCAATTCTTTATTTGTCCTGCAAACAGCTTTCAGTTTTGAAGTAGTTATTGTTACTGCTCTTTGTAAAAACCAATTGTTAGTTGCATATTGTCCTTGGGTATACTGCCCAATTAATGATATTTGCTCTGCAGTCAAAGACATATCAATTTTTCTTGAGATTTCCATTAACTCAAAATAATGTTTAGAAATATATATTTCTTGAAAAATGCTAAATTTGTTTGGTAACGTTACTTCCGAGGCTGCCTGTAGTTTCCTTTCAAATGGTTCCACTATCCTCATGAGACTAGCAGTACGAGACAAACTTTCAACCCTTTTTAATAAATTTACTACACCTTCTTTAGACATCGTGGGTACAGTTCTGCGTTGTTGTACAGAAGACACTGTACCAAAGTCCATTTCGGCTATTGGGACAATAGGCACTGCTGTGGACAGTGATGGCATGGGCCACAAAGCAGCTATATCCGTAAAGGAAACCGTACTTTTATTTATGTTTGCATATTCAGCAGCAAAGAGCAAAGCACCAACATGGCTACATACTTCGCTATTACCTGCCATACATGTACAGTGACCACTTGAAATCGAACCATCATTATTGATAATACACCAAGCCGCAAAGAGTTTAGCATTGGATCTTTAAGAATGTTTGACCTAAAAAAAATGTGTAAAAAACATGACTTAACCCCTTACTGCATGATTTTTTTGATTAATATTATTTTAATTTATGTAATGTATTATGACTTCAGAAGATTTGGAAAAATATTTAAAAAATTCTACGGCATGTTTGTTTTTTCTTATATTCAAAAATTTTGACATGTGCTAAATATGGAACAACTTTAGGTAACATTAATATTAAAAAATATACATTTTAATAATTTTAGTAATGAAAATATAAAAAATATTTCTTATTCAGTATGAAAGCGATAAAAACAGTTACGGTCCTTATTAAGACACAAAAAAACCATACATTTTGCACAATAAATGTGTGATTTTCCCTTGCAGTCTATATACTTGCAGCGTTGACGCTCAGTATGAGACCATTCCGGTAAGTGACCCAAGTTATCAGTTCTAATTTCTCGAGCTGGTATTTGCGCAAATGGGTATTTTTTCTTTTTCAATTGCAATTGAGTTTGTAAGTCATTGCTTGGCCTTCCCCTTTTTTTTTGTAGAACATTAGCCCTGGTTAGAATTTCTGCTAGTGCCAGTTTGAATTCTGCTAGAGGCAAGTACATATCGTCAGTTTGAGAGCGTCGCCATAAAATCCAACTATTGACACACAACATATCTATAAAATGGTAAAATACTCTCATATACCACTTCTTCGACCTGATCTGAATTCTGTAATAACCCAACATTGAATCTAAGAGATCAACACCACCCATATAGTTATTGTATATCCCAATACATTTTGGACGGGGAATCTCTATATGGCTCTTTGTTTTTCTACAGAACCGTTTTACGTCGGACATGGGCTGACTTCCAACATAAGTTGATATGGTATTCACTATTTTATTATCGTACCAAGATACTACAGAAATATCTACACCATCAATGTTGGCAACTTTTTCTGTGACA